AAAAAAAAAAAAAAAAAAGATAAGAAGAGTGGTGGCCTCTTATCATAGTGGGAGAATATGAATTGAAGTAAGGGGAAGGGCTTTCACCTTCACTAAACACATCAGCATTATTTTTTTTAGACAAGAATTTTTTTTTTTTCTATAATTAAAGAAAACTTGTAGCCAGGTATTATGGTGGGTACCTGTAGTCCCAGCTACTTGGGAGGCTGAGGCAAGAGGATCACTGGAGCCCAAGAGTTTGAGGTTGCTCTGAGCTATGAAGGCAAGGAACTCTACCAGGGGCAAGAATGTGCGACTCTGTCTCAAAAAATGAAATGAAAAACTTGGCTGGGTACAGTGGCTCATGGCTGTAATTCCAGCACTCTTGGGAGGCCGAGGCAGGTGGATTACTTGAGCACTCAGGAGGTCGAGGCCAGCCTGAGCAAGAGCGAGACCCCGCCTCAACTAAGACTAGAAAACTAGCCAGGTGTAGTGGTGCATGCCTGTCGTCTCCGCTACTCGGGGGGCTGAGGCAAGAGGCTTGCTCAAGCCTCAGAGACTGAGGTTGCTATGAGCTATGATGTCATAGCACTCTACCCAGGGAAACAGAGTGAGACTCTGTCTCCAAATAAATAAATAAAAAGAGAAAAAAACAGCATAAGAAAAACAAGTGAACCTCCTCCCCCGCCCCCCGACAATGTTACCTTGGCTCTGGCCTCCCGGGATGCTTCTGCTTCTGCAGCCATAGCTCTCTGGAGCTGCACAGGTAGTTTCACATCCTTAATTTCCACACGCTCCACCTTTATTCCCCACTCATCAGTGGCGTCATCCAGAGTACACTGTGGGGAAGAGCAGCAGCAAGCTAAAACTGGCCATCCCCAACCTAGATGCCCACAGTGGCTGTACTCTTGGATCTGGAGCAGATAAGGTGCTGAGGGAGCTGTAGACAGACAGTTATCCTGTGGCAGAGGAATAGGGGCTGGGTCTCTGGGGAGTTGATCCTGATTGTTACTAATAAGCTAATGCAGGGCTGGGTAAACTTTTAACAGAAGGGCCACACAGTGATAGTTTATTTGCAGTCTCTGTCCCTGCTATTTAGCCCAGCTGTTGTAGTCAAAAGCAGCCATGGACATATATAAAGAAATGCATGTGGCTGTATTCCAATGAAACTTACAAAAATAAGTGCCAGCTCCTGAGCTAAAGTGACTCTGTGTAAGCCATATTATTTCTTCACACTTCAACTTTCTCCCTTTAGAACAGTGATTTTAAACGAGTGTGCCATGAAAAATTTTAATCATTAATTATTTTCAAAACAAGTTCAGAGTACACTAAGTATATTCTTTTTTGGGGGGCTGGGGTTGGGTTTGAACCTGCCACCTCCAGCTTATGGGGCCAGCACCCTACCCTTTTGAGCCACAGGTGCTGCCCATAAGTATATTCTTTTTTTAACTTTTTTCTTTTTAATCAACATAATTTAAGTGTGCCGAGATAAAAAAGGCTGAAAAACTACACTATTTTGTAAGATTGTGACGGGTATCAAATAAGATAATAGATTTAACTCACAATGAATTCTAAACAAATATTAACAGTTAAAGATAGCCCTTTATCTTTTCTGAACAAGCCAGGCTTAACTCACCATCTATTACTGCCAAGCGAGATTGGAGAGCCTAACAGTTACAAGGGAATTCATGGGATTCACACACAGAAAAAAGTTTTAACAATACCCACACTCGGCTTGGTGCCTGTAGCTCAGCAGCTAGGGCTCCAGCCACATACACCAGCGCTGGTGGATCTGAACCCAGCCGGGGGCCTGCCACGCGACAATGACAGCTACAACAACAAAAAATAGCTGGGTGTTATGGCAGGTGCCTGTAGTCCCACCTACTTGGGAGGCTGAAGCAAGAGAATTGCTTAAGCCCAAGAGTTTGAGGTTGCTGTGAGCTGTGACGTCATGGTCCTCTACCAAGGGTGACACAGTGACACTCTGTCTCCAAAAGTTATAATAATAATACCCACACTATCACATAGAACAAACTGAACTATTATGCTAAACAAAAAGGTTAATACTGAGTCTGGAAAAAACATATACATTGGAGGGAATAAAAAAATTGCACACATGCGCTGCTAGTGTGAAAAATGTCCCCTCCCATCAAATTTGGAAAACTTTACTAAAAAGATTAGAGATCCCCTAACTTGAATTAATAAAAGATTCTCAAACGACTGTTGACAGGTCGCTCCATCTTCCAGTTTGGCTGGGTAACAGTGTTGACGCTATTCCTCACCTGCATGTTGTGTGCAATTTCTTCTCTGTCAGAAAGGATCTGAGAGAGGTTCTTGGTCCCCAGAACGTTCCTCAGAGTAGTTTGTGCCAGAAGACGGGTTGCAGAGTCAGCGTTGGTGATATTTGCCACCGCGAGCGTTGCATTCTGAACACGGTAATAGACCACACCATCTACGCTAACCGTCACGGAGTCCTTAGTGAGGATCTGTGGAGGGAAGGAAGCAAGTTTACATCCGTGAACCACTACTTCTTTAACAACTGTAAGGGTGGTTGTTCTATAGGACATCTTATAACAGCTGATTTTCTTTAGCGAGGTACTCAAAAGTTAATTATGTCTTTAAATATTTAATAGACTACATCCATGTATTCATTAAGTCCATCATCTCATTCAATCATTCGATAAATATTGAGACACCACTCAGTAGCAGGCACTGTACGCAGGTGCAGGAAAAGAGGTATAAAAAAAATAAATGGTTTCTACTTTCAAAGAGGTTGGGGAATCAAGGGAGGCTGTAAGGGTCAGCAGTGGGTGGCCAGGGTGATATCTGGACCAAATCTTGAAGAAAGGAATAACAATTTTCTAGACTGTTCAAGGCAGAGAGAGTAGTGTGTGGAAAGGCACAGAGTTAAGAGAGAGACTAGGTTTGATGAACCACAGGTAGCACAGTGTTACTGGGAAAATGAGTACACGAGGACTGTTTCTAGAGGGTGCATACAAATCTATTTATAGCATGCTACATAAAAATGCTTAATATGGCACAATTTTGTTTTGAACTAAGAAGCTATCTGAGTAAGAGGTTCCAGGAAAACAGTAACGCAAACTACTTAACCTCGCTGGGACTCACTTTCCTTATTTGTAAAGCAGAGATTATTTACAGTACCTACTTTACACTGTTGCTAGAATTAACAAGTTAATACATTTAAGCTCTCAGGATAGTGCCTCACACATGGCAAGAGCTGTCTTCATTATTCTTTTCCATCTTGGATAATGGTGTTAAAATAAAAACACTGGCTTTGTTAACTGTAACAAGTTAATTTAGACAATAAGAAAGAAGCCCCGCAGGTGCAGTGGCACACGTGTAGGCCCGGCTACTCAGGAAGCCCAGGAGTTCTCTCTCCTCACATCAGACTGGCATATTTCTGGTCATCAGTCAAGTGTCCTTTTCTCTGAGAAACTTCCCTGACTCATCAGGCAGGGATAAATACTTTTCCCTTGCACATCCATTGCACCTTACTGTTGTGACACTACTTACTCAAGCTTCTACTTCTCCACTGGACTAGAGATTTTGTAACGGCAGTTCCTTGTATCTCTAGCACTGACAGAGGGCTTCATACATGCCAGGCGGTCAACACTTGACAGATTAATTGAACTGAAATGTGGTCCTAGGAATAATGATTGATGAGGAACATAGGAGGGCGAGTCAGGAGACCTGAACCATAGTTTCAGTTCGGCATATTCCTGATCCTGGATGGCCTCTAGCAAGGCTTTTAAACCATTTGACCTTGAGAGTCATTTATGAGATGGGTGTCCAATTCCACCCAAATTTCTGCGAAGATCAAATAAGAAGGCATTTGTGAATGAAGCTCTTTTGAAAATGCAAAGAGCTGTGTAAACAGAAGCGATAACAGTATTGTTACATAGTTGTTTACCCTTACCAGGCTTCAAAACAGCAATCCTTTTTATAGTAATCTAAAAATATTTCTAAGTTGGATGAGAAATTAGGGATTTGTAAATAAATGGGTGCTATATTACCATTTTCTGTGAAAATTATTTCCCATGATATGATGGGAAAATGTGTCATTTCTGAACAAACGCTTGCCACTTTGACTTGGCCAGAGCTGCTATCTACAGCTACAGCTTCTCCGCCTACTGTGTATCACAGGCAGAGTATTTATTTCCCTTCACAGTAAGTTCAGAGGGGATTGGAAAAAGGACTGCAAGCCAAGTTCCGATCCGCTCTGCATTCAGCAGCTTGCACGGGAGAGCGCAGCTGGAAGGCAGAAGCTTCAACAGCAACCCCACCAGATGTCTGCAGTGTTTATAGAGGAAATGCCAGTTTCCAGCTACCCTAAAAGGACCTCCTGCTGAGAGGCACTCCTCCCTGAAAGATGGAAATGATGTGTGGAGAATACAGCGAAGCTCTCATCTTTTGTCTCCTAAGATGTGGGCACCAGGATAGCCCTCAGGGAGCCAACATGGAGCTAATGTAGAAAGCATTTGGCATGGAGCTGTGGGAAGACACTGGATGGGGAATAGCTGGATTTTAGCCCTGGCTCTGCCACTGTAATTTGGAAGAACTCCTATCTCCCCACAACCCTATACTTTCTAGGGATTCTACGTGAAGTAGTTTGAAAAAGCACAAAATAATTAGAAATAAAAAATATTAGACATTTTATCTAAAATGTCGAGGAAGCAATTTTTAATCCTTTGGTTTCTTATCTATTTATCTAAAATAAAACTTAAGGAAGAATACTATACTAAACAAAATTTTCTATCAGAAACCCACACAGGAGAAAGGTGGTAGTAAAAATGATAATGACAACGATGATGATATTAATGCTATCCTGATGTAACACGACATTATGTTTTGTAATACAGTCCTCCCTTGGTATCCGTGGGAGACTGCGTCCAGGACCTCCAGTGGATGTACCAAAACCCAAGGATACTCACGTGCCTTATATAAAAAGGCACAGTTGTTGCATATAACCGCTGTACATCTTCCTGTGTACATTAAGTCATCTCCAGATTATAAAGCACATTCGCACATGATATCTCAGTTATTCACAGCCACCGAAAACCTTACCTCCTGAGGAGGAATGTCAAATGAAATAGTTCTCATATCCACTTTGATGAAGCTGTCAGTACATGGCAGAATAAAAAACAACCCTGCAAAAAAGATACACAGGTATCAGCACCTAATCGGTTCATTTTTCCATTCAATTTTAATAGAGTTGACCTAATGAACTGAAAGTCATCAGTTCATCTTAGCAAATGAGCCAGAAGCCAGGAAATTTATCCTCGACTCCCTCGTTTACTTCCCACAACCAGCTGTTCTCAGTAGGGCCCGTGGAGTTCATTTCCTTATTGTTATGGAAACTGAATGACTGTTACTGTCATTCTTTTTTTCCCTTACCTTGGACCACAATTCCTTCTCATCTTTCTATTTCTAGTAGTTTCTCTCCAGCAATCCATTTCCTAAGCTACAAACAAAGCAATCTGTCCTAAGATATAAACTGTGCCCCATATGGAGTCCTGCATGACGCACCTCTGTGCACCTCTTCAGCCACTCCCCCTCTCTTCACATCCCACACTCTTGCTGGACTAAGCTGCTTATAGTTTCTCAAATCTGCAATGCTATCTTCTGTATACTACTTTGTGCATGTTGCTAGGTCTGCTGGGAATACCTCCCCCCTTGGTTAATATCTTTTCATGCCTCAAGACTCAGCCTAGATATCACCTCCAGAAAGCTTTGTCTCATCCTACTACTAGTTTGGATAAGTTAATTCTTCTTTGGGTCTCTCTTCTCCCACCTGTCTGGGATTACCAGATCATAACATTTATCACATGGGATTGTAGTTATCTGTTTCCTTGTTAGTGTCCCACCATTAGATAGTAAGATCTTTGAGGACAGGGACTGTGTTGTAGTCTCCTTTGAACTCCCAGAGCCTAGGACACAGTAGTTCAATTGAAGTTTGCTGAGTGAATTACTGAAAGTCTTTCTTTAGTGGAATTCTCATGCTCAAATTTTTATAGTTGTAGCTATTCCTGGCCTAATAAGATAATCTTATCAGTTCAAGCGGGAAAGGGAAGAGAAGGGTGGAAAGGAAATAGTAACAATAGTAAGACCGGCTAAAGCCACTGCTATTGTTATACAACTTCCATTACATGAACTTTTTCTAAGTCAACAAAGAGACCCTTGTAAGGGGAATCATGTTCAATAAAAAGTACTCCAGTCTCCAGAAAAACAATCCAGAATCCTAGTACTAACCAGGTCCTTTGGCGCCTCCTTGTAAAATACGACCCAATCTAAAGATGATGGCTCTTTCATACTCTTTTATAATCTGGAATAAAAATACAAATGATAATTTAACATGGAGTATACAAATATTGGCATGTGAAGCTTCTTGAATATGTATTTCTGCTCTACACAGGTTAGATAGCTCATGTAATTTTTTTCTGTATCCAGATAATAGCAAATAATTTGTCTAGTCTTTACCTTCTCAAAGTATAATATTTATTTATTTATTTTTACTGATTATAAAAGTAATAGATATTCACTGTATAAATTAGGGAAGTACAGAATAATATACAGAAATAAATCCATAACATCACTCCTTAGCTGCTACCATTAAATTGCTCATGCATTATTAATTCAGAAAAAAAATCTGAAGTCCTCATAGATTTTCTTCTGATTCCTTTAATTATAAGAATTTTTTTTTTTTTTTTTGAGACAGAGTCTATGTTGCCCTTGGTAGAGGGCCGTGGCATCACAGCTCACAGCAACCTCAAATACTTGGCCTTAAGTGATTCTCTTGCCTCAGCCTCCTGAGTAGCTGGGACTGCAGGCGCCTGCCACAACGCCGCGCTATTTTTTTTTTTTTTTTTTTTAGCTGCAGTTGTCTTGTTGTTTAGCAGGCCTGGGCCGGGCTCAAACCCAAACCCAAAAGCATTGGTGTATATGGCTGGCACCCTACTCATTGAGCTTGGGGCGCTGAGCCATGTAAGAATAAATTTATCTGAAAATGTTTGCAGCAAATTTTATCTTTTTAGGAATATGTAAATGATAATAATTTACCTAAGTATTAATAACGTTATAGAAAAAATAATAAGCATCTAATTTACTATGTGCCAGGCACTGTGATAAATACAGACACACAAATTCATTTAACCCTTGCCATAGTGGTATGAAGTAGGTATGGCTGTTTTCTCTGATTTTATAAGCGAGAAAACATGGTAAAAGTAACATAGTAAATAATCAATCCAGTAGTCAAATCTCCCCATCCTAACTCCAGAGAACTTCTTTTCACAGGACCATTTCATGTCCTGCACACATGCACACATAAAGAAGGTTTATGTAGGTGGGAGTTGACTTTCTCCAGATGGGAATGAAATGTTCATTACCTTTATGCACATCCATATTGATATTGGGAAAGTTACAAGTGTGAATAGGAATGAAACAGCCACTAAAATCCATCCACAGAGTCCAAGGCCCTTACTTGGACTATCTGTTGAAAATGAAAAAATAGAAACTCTTAATATTATTGTTACAAGCACCATCAAGACCATCTTCATCCTTATTATTCACTGAAAAAGTACATACCTGCCATTATGCTACATGTTTCACGTGGATTTCCCCAACTAATCCTCACATAACCCTTTAAGTGTAGGTACTACTTTCCCTAATTTATGTAACATGACAACATTAAGTATATTTTCGCATTAATCATTATTTTATCCAGCCAAGCATTTCTTAAGCGTCTACTATTTATTATACCCTGTGCTTTGTACTGAAGTGATAAAATTGAATATGACCCAATCCTAGCTTTTCAAGAAGTTTAGTAGGGGGTCAGTGTCTGTGGCTCAAAAGGGTAGGGCATCAGCTCTATATGCTGGAGCCCAAGATAAATAAAGAAATAAACCCAGCCCTGGCCAAAAATAAATAAATAAATAAATAAACACTAAAAAAAAAAAAAAAAAGAAGTTTAATGAGGGAAGACACACAAATAGATAACTATAATATTGGGTGGTAAGTGCAGATATAGAGTTTATGCTCAGAATATGCTCAAGACCCAGAGTAAAGTAACTCATGCAGTTAGGATGGAGGGTAGAGTGGAGTGAACAGGTGATGGTGGCAGAGAGCTTCTTGAAGGAGAAGAAAGGAAAGGGGCATTTTAGCGGAGGATACAGCATGAAGTAAAGGTGAAAACCATCTGATATATGAGTATTAGAGCCTCCTAGTATAAATTTCACCTGCAAAATACTTTACAGCATCATTTATTGTCCATTTCCTGGCTATTAGACAAGTTGCTTCTGATTTCTTATTTTAAATAATGGTGTAATGAACATCTTTGTTCAGTTTTCTTTCACATTTCTAAATGTTTCTTTTCTTCATACTATGAAATAGATTTTCTGTCTAATCACAAAAGTAATATATATCCCACTGCAAAAAAATTAAGAAAAGTATAAAAAAGGAAGGAAAAATTACTCTAAATCTAGAGATAATAAGGATTTTGGTACAGTCTTCCCAAAATATTTCCTGGTACACACAACCATATTTTTAAAAGTTTAAAAATTTTAAAATTTGTGAGCTAGGTATGGTGGCTCATACCTGTATCCTCGCACTCTAGGAGGCCAAGGCGGGTGGATTGCCTGAGCACACAAGTTCAAGACCAGCCTGAGCCAAAGTAAGACCCCAACTTTAAAAATAGCCAGGTAAAATTGTGGTGGGAGCCTGTAGTCCCAGCCACTTGGGAGGCTGAGACAAGAAAATCACTCGAGCCCAAGAGTTGGAGGTTGCTGTGAGCTAAGACGCCACAGCACTCTACCAAGGGTGTCCAGTGAGATTCTGTCTTAAAAATAATAAAATTTAAAAAGTAATAAAATTTGTAACCCCAATTTTTCTCCTCTATCATTCTCTTGCCTTCTTTTTTTTAGCCTTTATAACTATGCATGTGTTTTTTTCTGTTTTTGTTTTTAATTTCTTATTGAAGTCATACTCATGTCAAGTTTAAAAAGTCAAACTGTTCTGTAAGGACAAAGAAGTACAGTCCTCTGCTCACCTCTTCCTATTTCTTCCTCTGCAAATGCAATTGCTCTTTTGGCTATTTGGGAATTTACCTTTACGTTTCTAAATATGCTTTTCTTGGCTTGGCACCCGTAGCTCATTGGCTAGGGTGCCAGTCACGTACACCGGAGCTGGTGGGTTCGAACCCAGACCAGGCCTGCCAAACAACAATGACAACTACAACCAAAAAAATAACCAGGCCTGTAGTGGGCACCTATAGTCCCAGCTAGTTGGAAGGCTGAGGCAAGAGAATGCTTAAGCATAAGAGTTGGAGGTTGCTGTGAGCTGTGACAGTACAGCACTCTACCAAGGTGAGACTCTGTCTCAAAAAAAAAAATGCTTGTCTTATTACTTCTTGCTTACTGATCTTCCACCTTGATAGGGGATTTAATTCTCTTTCTGCTTTGTCCCCCAACACGTATGTATACCCATCCTTTTAATACCTTCTAATACAATGATATCGTAATTTCAGTTAGATCATCATCAAATCTTACATTATTATGAATTTGTAGGTGCTATTCAGAGCTAAGCCAAAAGTATCATTAATTTTTCTTTCCTGTACCACCTTTTTTTCCCCTGGAGTTAATGTTTTTGTTTTTTTCCATTAGCTTAGTGTTTAACTTACTACTTGTTGATCTAATCTTAAACTTTCCATCAGATATTCCACCAACTTTCCATCAGATATTCTACCAATTTCATCTTTTGAAGCAAGTCTCAGAGCCTTGTCTGGATGCCTCTTGCCTGGTGCACAGATACCATTCTGGGAATGCCTCTCACTATCATCCTGGAATTCCCATCACCTTTTGTGTTGCTCCTATTTTCTATATCCAGAGTCTCCCTCATTTTTAGTTTGTTTTTTTCTGTGGCAGATAGAGGGATGAGAAGGGCAAGACACATTACTGATTTTCCTCTCGACCACTCAGAAGGCTTCTGCTGTATTTTCAGGAGCTGTTTTAATGTGGGAGAGAGTCTGGCAGGAGGAGAAGAGGTATGCCAGGCATGTGTTATTGCTTAGAAGAAAGGGCAAAACGGCAGTGAGATGGCGATTTGAATAAATAGCAGGCCAGGAAATAAGCAGAGAGTTCCGGCTGGGAGCATGAGAGAAAAGAGAGAAACAGGCTGGCACCCAGGTCAAGCACATCCTATAACACAGGATGAAAAGTCAGACATAGAGCGAGAACTGTGGTTATTTGTGACTTGGTAAGTTTCTGATCCAGGTACAGGGTAGATGTTCTTATGTATACTTAAATGAGATTCTAGGGCAGCAGTTCTCAACCTGTGGGTCGAGACCCACAGGAACTGTATTAAAGGGTCATGGCATTATGAAGGTTGAGAGCCACTGGTCTAGTGTAATCCTCGAGGTTTTAAAGGTACAATTTGAGAGTACAGACCTATTTACCACGGGAATACTAAAAGCCAGGCCATGATGCTGCTGGTGGAAAAAAGTTCTAGCAGGTAGCCTCGTAACTGGGAATAGTAACAGTGGCTGCTGTGAATGGTCTTCTCTACCCCAGGCACTGTGTTAAACTGCTTTACACATGGATCTCGTTTAACTCTTACAAAAGCCCTGTGAGGATATTTTAAACTCTATTTTATGGATGAGGCAACTGAGGTACTTTAGTTTCCAAGGACTCACAATGGAAGATGTAAGACTCAAATATATATCACCTTATTCCGACTGAAGCCCATGAAATTCACTCTTTGATCCTTCATCTCTGAATAAAAATGTCCTCACTGAAGATTTTTTGTGTTTGGAGCACCTTCTCCAGATAGTACCAAACTGGGAAAGAGCCTGGTAGGAGTTCTGAGCATGAAATCTGATATTCTTAGAGAGGAAGCCCTCTGAATTCTAGTGGTGCCTATTTATAAGCAAAAGACAGATTCAAAGAACTGTGCCAGGCTCAGATCTAGGTTTTCGGAGTGAAATGGATCCCAAACTAGGAACACATTGGCCACAAATACTTTCTAAAATATCGCCCCAAGTCTCCCACATCTCCCATATTCCAGGCAAAGTACGCAGCTCCACATCCTGAACACAGCAGATCACACTGTGTAAACTCCCTCAGGGCAGGGTGTTTCTTACTAATGTTTATATTCCCAATATTTAGCACAGTACCTTGGATAGAATGTCTTTTTTTTTTTTTCTGTAGAGTTAGGTCTATGCCTTCTTGCCCAGGCTGGTCTCTAACTCCCAGCCTCAAGTGATCTCCCAAAGCACTGGGATTACAGGCATGAGCTACCATGCCTTGTAGAAATAAAACACTTCTTATCAACCTTTCTAGCTAGATATGTTTTTTTCTTTCCTCTGAATCTTGATAACCTCTTTTAACTTCTCATGTGGCACTTATATTTTGCCTGATATTTTAATTTCTTAGGCACTTATATCCCTTACTAGACTGAGATTTTCTCAATGAAAACAAGGAGTGTCTGGGTTTAAATTTCAGTTCTAATTCTTGGTTGTATGATTTCTTTACTTCTTGGAATCTTAGTTTCCTTACCTGTAAAAAAAATTATTATTTAGGCCTTATAAAATTGAGATAGTACTCAGTACATTTAGAAGACAGTTTTCTGTAATTTCTCCATTCTACTCAAGTGTTCAAATCTTCACGATGAAAAATGAGAACACACAGAGCACTTGTTCCGTTTGATAAATGCCTCCTAGATGATTTATTTAATTTGTCCCTTGCTTCAGGCCTCCCCCCAAGCAAGGCCAGGCATAGACATTCAAAGACCCTCAGAAGCTCACTTATGAACAGACCTACATGAAGACAAGTCAGAAAGTTCAGCCCAATTTCTTTGTGTTCAGTTCCCATTTCACATGGAGTTTTTGAAAGCCCCATATGAGCAGATGGGATTACAAATCAGGAACAACTAGAAATTAATAAATATTCAGAGAACTGGGCTTGGTCTTTCACATATACTCAGCATATATATGAAAAATGTCATTTTCATATTTTTCTAATGCCTTTAAAATCAAACTATCCCATTTTCAACCTTCAGCATGATTCCCCACCTGATTATGGCTCAAAAAGGTGCATAAACCACATTCCCGAGAGAGGTAAGGCTTAAATTCCAACATGCTTATGAATAATCTCTTAGTCATCTACTACTTCTGGGAATAAGAGGAAAAAAATTCTCACCAATGTTTCATAAAGTTCATTTCCTTCAAGCTTCTCGTGTATTACTTTATTACTGGTCCTTCCTACCAGTTTCATAAGTGACAATAATAGGCAATCAGTAGTCCTGAGATATTTGGTTGACATATTTGTCCATATTTTGCTGGGTAGGAGCATTCCTGAAAATTAGGGATCCTATGATACTTCGTTGTAAATACTACTTTGCCATGGTTTAGAGTATTTTCTTTTTAATACCAAACTCTTTCTTAAAAACTACATTAGAATAAACTTTCTTCTCCCCTTTAGACAGTTTCACTGTCACCTG